ACTGTGAATGAGGAATGGTGGTTTAAGGTGAAGAAATATGATTGTGTCAAGTTACTTGCTATGGAAAACAGGGTGGAAAACCAAGTAATGTGCTCTATGAAGAGGCAAGTAGGACTTCTGAGTAGAAGACTTGGTAGTACACAGAGGAGTGATAAATGATCATCAATTTAATAGCATGGATGTGACTGGCACCATGAAAAGACTGAGGAGTGGGGGGAGACATCTTAGTCAACTCGTTCCAGGTTTCAATTGTTGTGATTACTGTGGGAAATAGTGCATTGTGCACCCACTTCATCATGACCAGAAATTACAAATATCAGGGTAGCTCCGTTTTAACTTCACTGAAAGTCTTCTACCGATTTAAAAAAAAAAAAAAAACTTGAAAAGCTTGGAGAAAGTAACACATAAAAAAGATAATTCCAGAACGTTGCTGTGATGTATAGAAAGTGCAGGAGATACGTGTATGAAAGTGAGATATATTTATGAAACATGTGATCTTCTGGGATAAAACCAAGAATCACATAAAACGTATTTCAGAATACTGCTGCTCCATAATAATGAATAGCTTGACATCTTCTCTAAATACTTAGACATGTATGGAACTTTAGGTAGTTGCAGTTAATTACTGCATGTAACAATGGACGAAGATTAATCTTCTGCAATATTGTTTGCCGATACACATGCTATTTTTTGTGCCTAGAAATTCCATACTATGAGGGTGTCCAGATTCCTTGAAAATAAACACATTTATTTGCTTGCTTGTATGCTTTATCTGTATGCCACCCATTTTCAAAACCTTTGGGTGGTTGAGAAAAAAAAAAACGATTTCATAAGCTAAACCCCACAAATTTAATTGTCTTGACCAGTGTTTTTCAAAGCAAGAATGAAGAGAAGAGATTCCAGTTATAGATAGTATATTTTACATTTAGGAATGTGCAGGTTCCAGATCATGTAGAAACTGATAGCCAGCTTGTAGCTGTTAAAAAACATCATCCCACCAGCCTTCATGAGCCTCTGGGTTCTCCCCCCACTCCCACCCAGCCACCCACTTGCCACCACCAGGTTGACAGTTTTGTTGTGTCTGAGGAATGCAGGTGTCATTGAAGGTCATGGGCACACGATTATTATTCATTTAATTTGAATAAATGCTTTTATATAAAGAATGCTGGAGGCCCGCTTAAGCCTGATTTTCTTCACAAGCATGTTGTGAGGCTTTAAAAGTCTGTGAAGTGCTTGAGACCTTTGCAGAGAAGGCACTTACGCAAATGCAACGGGTCATTGTTTGTTCGAGCTGTTCATCATTTGTTCAAGGCCATTGCCCCTTTTCCTCTCAACGGTAAGAAGTTCAAAGCAGCCTTTCCGGAATCACTGGAGAAGGAGTGTGGGTGGGTGGGTGGAATCAGCAGTGTGGAGACAGGCAAAATACAGGAAGGATCATAGCATGCAGAGCTAGAGGGCACTAGGAATTGTATCCAGGTAGATCTTCGAAGCTGCTCCTCTTATCTTTCTAACCATAGCGATCTTTAAAAGGTAAGCAAAACAAGACAAATGTGACACACTAGAAGAATATGAATTGGGAAATCTTTGCTCCAGGCTCAGTCTCTAAATCATCTGACCATAGAGGTGAATTCCTATCTTAACTATCAAGCATAATTGTATTGGTCCCTCAAGAATGTGGCTGTTTTTCCAGGCAAAATGAATTCGGGACAGGGTTACTCTTTAAAGAGAGCAGTTGTGTGCCTATTTTTAGCTAGGGGAAAAGTTATAAGTTGTGGTTGGTTAATACATAAAAGGTTTTGTATACAATCCCAACAGTCTAAAAGTTGCTTTCCAACTAGTGCTAAAGATTGTATAGTTGGTCAGGCTGATGGATCTGACATCACACATACATATAAGCCCACACACATTGTTACAGATTCATATTCTTATTTTATAGCCATTATGGCTTCATAAACTTATAATGTCTGTGGGAAGAGGAGAGGTATACGTTAATTAATTATTTGGTGTTTGGTCAGTGTACTTTCTAAACTCCAGCTACTGGGAAGTATGGCGTAATGCAATATATGAATCCAATGAACTATAGCTTTCTTAACAAATTATGTTTAAACAACTATGGATTTAGCATAATATGTGAAAATTCTCAGATATTCTGAAAAGAAAGAGGGTCAGCGCCTTTTGCCATCAAATAATCTACAGCAGAATCATCGTTTATAGGATGCTAGCTGACAGATAGCAGAGCCTGAGTGTAATAAGATGTGGGAAAGACCTTGGGAAACAGAAAGAAGAGCTGCAGACTAGGCAACAGTCAGATAAATGAAATTTCAGTCCAAAGGAAGACCCAGAAGAGACCCTTCCTACTTTTGAGGAGTAAAAATAAGGGATGGAAGAGGTACTTTCCAATTTGCAAGAGTCTGTTAATGTAACCTTACAATAAAAATAGTGCTAGTATTCATTGTTATGCTTCTTGTCTGGCCTACCTCAAAGAGCTAATACCGAGTGCCCTTGTGAAGAATGGATGAAATGAAATAGTTCCCTCATCTCAAGATTTCTTCTCTCTCTTTCTCTTTCCCTCCCCCTCCCTCTGTGTACTGTAAAGCAAATCACTGAAACAAAACTATTGCATCTGAAATATTGAACCATACAATAATTTCAATGGAAGTGTGAGTACAAGTGAGTCTTTACTTGTTAACAAAAAGATTATAAAGGTGATCTCAGGTTAATTGCTCATTGTCAACCCTCTAAAAGTATTTCAAGCAGGACAGAATTCTGAAAGGAGTTAGAAATTTTCTGACTTTCCACAGCTCTCTCTCTCTCTACACACACACATGTGCACGTGCACACACACACACACACATACGTACATACACACGTGTGTGTGTGTGTGTGTGTGTGTGTGTGTGTGTGTGTGTAACCAAAAATCTTATCTCAAATATTTTGAAAGTTTCCTTTGTTGGTGAAAGAGGCTTCTTTTTCAATCACGGTCTCAAAGTTTCTCACTTTTGTTTTATTTTTTCAAGATGGCAAGACTTATCTAATCAAATGATTGATTAGGGATTCTTATTAGCATTTTAAAAAGAAGGTATATAGAGAAAACCTGTGGGAGTACACAGTGGTGTTCTGCTTTTAGAAGTACCCAACTTCCATAATCTTTCTATTTAACAGACAACTAGCCAAGAAGATTCCTTATTAAGTTAGAACATCTATTTACAGAGCAACTAAGCAATTATGAATTAAGTAAAAAACTGAAAAAATGGTTATGAGAGAAAACCTCAGAAATAATATTAAACTAGCAGGGTAAAGCTGGCAGTGAAGCCTCATGGAAAACCATCAGTATTTTTTCTGGCTCCAGCTCTTACCAAACTTTATGCAGTGTGTAGGCTGGGAGGCAAAAACAAAAATCTACATCTGAGAACAAAAAATAACTTGGGAAGACACCACAAATCAAGGGAATACAGAATGTACAAGCATGAAATAATTAAATGCCCAGGAACTACCAACTCTTTACCTATAATTTCACTTTTAAAAAATTGTCACGGACAAGGGAATATTTTCACAAGAATTTGCAGATTAGATTGTGGAAGAGCTGGTGTGGATATTACAATAGTTGAGATGACTGTTCCAGTAGTCACTTCTGAAGCATCATAGAAGAATTCCCCTTTATCCTCTCTTCCCCAAGCCACACATTTCCATCTCTTTCAGACATTTCTCATAGACATGGTTGCCAATTTTATGCACCATCCTGATCAAATTTCTCGGAGCTCACTCCCGTTTGTAATTTTAAAAATCTGTTGTCCAGAATAGGATGCAATACTCCAAATGTGGTCTGACTAATGCAGAATTATTAATTATCTTGGCATAAATGGTAAGTTCCTGTGAATGCGCCTTAAGATTGCATAAATGTTTTTAGTAACTGTATCACACAGTTGGCTTAGATTCAGTCCATTCTCATATGCGCTCAGCAGTAAGTCCTTCCCAATACATTAGATTTTAAAAAAAATCTTTGTGGAAAAAATAATATATTCTCACAAAGCATGCATTTCTAAATATATTTTATTTAAATGGCCACTTCATCATAAGATATGCATTTTGAAATATATTTAAGATCAAGTGTTTAGCACAGAGCCCCCAAAGTTGTTCCAATCCTCAGATTGCACGTCAGGATAATCGCACATAATATTTCACTACATATAATGCTCATAGATTTCCCAGCCCTGAAACCATGTGCTCACTGCCAACATACTCATAGCAAGGTATTCTTTAATGTTATAGTTGAAGATATTTGAAAAAGAAAAACAACATGTCTCCTTCGAAATTAAATGAAAATTGGCTTTGTGTTTGTTTTAAATATAAAGAACACACTGATAAAATAATATTGATGTATTTCTTTTATTGGGCTTATAACTGACACTTCCATGAACAAATGGCATTCAGTGAGAGTGAACCCCCCCAAAATGTGTGCAGTAATATCCCATAGGTAGCAAAGATTTTTAATGACTATCTGAAAGAAAGTTAATGGCGTCTCATGCCTTTGCAGGTCTTCCAGTCACCTTCCAGCTATGCATTTACATATTAAGGATGGGAATTTTTAATATAAAGATTATTTTGTTCCTACTTTTCTCTCCATCTTTGATGGAGATCATTAGAAAATGTTACTTGAAAACATACATGAATTCGAGAAGGATTGATTCATCATGGAAAAGTATTAAAATCACATCTCTGCTCCTGAAGCAGAGCAGATGCATGACACAAGATCCTCCCCAAGCCAAAGCATTCGAATTTTCCTTCTTTCTATATAGCTTCGAGGAATTGGAGGTCAGTTGCTTTGATTTAACTTGGAGAGAGAATGAGACGGCTACTGTTTCAGTTATCTGCTTCATTAAGTTTCGACTCTATTTGTGTCTGTTTGCTTTTCTACTTGTGCTTGGAAGTGTGTCTATCTGTGCTCTATTTCATAAGGTCTGGAGTTTATTTGCCTGCATTTGCTTTCCACTGCCTTTGGACTATGTTTGCTCTGTGCTCTGTTTGATTGAGTCTGGACTTTATGGGTCTGAGCTTCTTCCAGAGCTTTGAGGCCTTGTTTGTTTTGCTTTCTAAAGCCTGGGAATGTGGTAGTATGTGGCTTGCCCATTGCCTTGAAGAGTGACTGAGATGCCTTACGGTAAGTATGAGAGCATTCCTATATACAGCTGACCCTTCGCCTAATTCTTCTACCTTCCTCAGGCAGTCTTGATTATCCTTTCTTCCAGATCTATTGAGGCATGCTATCTGAGACCTTTGAGATAGTAACCTAAGACACGTGTTGGGTACTTGGTCACAGAAGGATGATCAAGCTACCCAGTGCAACTGTACCCAATACAGGGAAAAGGGGTTTGCCCTAGAAACCTGGGTTCTCAGCAAAAGGAGCCTGAGGAAGAGAGAAACAATTAGACTGCTCATGCTCATACTTAGCAGGATTCATCCAGAAGGTTTCCATCTCAGCAAAACATCATCTGAAGTCCAGGAGACTGAAGAAAGCAAAGGAGCATCACCTTGCCTTACGAGGTCCTTTTTTCCATGCAGGCTTCAGAAGAATGCAAAATTTCTGAGCATTATAATTCATTTGAAAAAGTGATGACTCCTTCTAGAATGAGCCTTATAGAAGATGTATCCAATACATTCTATTCTATAGAGTGTTCAGTCAGATCTTTGCCTATAGAGCTTTTGAAATAGTCAATTGAGTGTGTTTTGGCATATACATATACATTATTTTGGCATATACATTTAATGATTAAGGAATGGTTATTGGTTGAGCTTTTTGTTCTATTCTAATAAAGTTTTCATTGGGAGTGTTATCTGATAAAATGGAATGTTTTTATGCTGACATCTATGGTATACTATAAGAGACTTCTGAGGATGACTTTGGTGGTGACAATTGATACCATCAGGTATGGTGTCATTCTAGGCAGCCTGAATGATTTTGGGTGGATGATACCAGTCTACAGAGTTTCCATATTATCCTGTTGGATGTGCTGGAATATGGGAGCTTAAACTATTGGCCAGGTATTGGTGGAGTATCATAGAGCTCAGGTCTTTAATGCTGGTATGAAACTAATGAGAGAAGTTATCCTTTGGTTTGTATGAAATCATGCAATTTGGAGGTTCTCTGGACTGACTATTACCTCTTTATGAAGATACTTGTTCAGATACTCTTTTGCTCAGCTTCAACTTGTGCACCAATTGCCATATTTAGAATAGGAATCATTGGCCATGGTGACTCGTGCTCCCATTACTTAGATATTGAATTACTGCAACGTGCTCTATATTGGGCTATCTTTGAAAATCACCTAGGTTCTCCAGCAATTGGTGTAGAAACCAGCTGCCCATGTGTTGGCAGGAAGCCACCATGATATTAACAAGACACTAGTCCTGTGAGTACTGCATTGTCTCCCAATAGATTTCCAAATACAACTTAAACTGTTGGTTTTAACCTACATAGTTCTCTATGACGTGGCTCCAAATAACTTAAGGTGTTGCTTTTAAATGGGATCATTTATCCTGTGCCTTTAACCCAGGAGGATTGACTCATCTCCTTGTAGATTTTGATGGATCCCAAGCCTTCTCAGTAGCTGCTCCAGACCAGTCAAATAACCTTCACCCATTTAAAAAAGGTACTCAAAATTATCAATTTTGAGCCTTGACCTTATCAATCTGCTCAAGTTGTAATTAATAAGAGGATGATGTTGTTTTACATTATATTTTTGTACTTTTATGGTATTGTCATAATGATTTTACGAAGTTATGGTATAAGCCTCCTACAGGTGCCCCTCCCCCATCTATTCTCTGCCTCCCAAGTCCCAGCTGATTGGGATGAAATGGGGATTTATTTATTTTTTTGCTTTAATTTATATGCCGCCCTTCTCCGGAGACTCAGGGCGGCTTACAATGCGTTAAGCAATAGCCTTCATACTTTTGTATATTTATACAAAGTCAGCTTATTGTCCCCACAATCTGGGTCCTCATTTCACCTACCTTTGAAAGGATGGAAGGCTGAGTCAACCTTGAGCCTGGTGAGATTTGAACTTGCAGTAATTGCAAGCAGCAGATGTTAATAACAGTGCTTTAGTCCACTGTACTACAGGCTTTGAAGGAGGCTGTATAAACATCATACCATATATAAATATACAAAATGATTATTCTTCCTCAAATTCTATTCTTGTTTTAAGCACTTCAATCATTTTGTCTATTATTTTGTTTCTATACAGCAAATAATTATATCTTCATTTATAAACCCTACTACATAGATCATGGATACAAGTACATGGATATTATATGGATACAAAGAGAAATAATACTGGATCTTCAGGCTGTTAGGATGATACCTATTGTTAAGAAATTAGTTAATTACTATTAATTATCTATATCAGAAAACTTCCTTCAGAAGTTTTGGAATTCGTGGCAACAGTGTCTGACCCTTGATTCCTCCCCTTGGTAACAAAGGCTTTAAAGTCATGGTTCAGTAGATTCAATTCAAAGACTGCAAGATAGAGTTTCAAGGATTAGAGATTTCATTATTGATGGGAAACCTCTCTGTCCTGAATATGTTGCAAAAGACATGGCCACACATATTAATTTGGTTTCAAGTGAGACCAATGCAATGATTTCTTAGACTAAGGAGAGCTCACCAATCAAGGGCGTTGATCATCAGATTGGGCAAGATAGCTTTGATGTACCACCACAAAGTGTTTTGCGTTGCCTTCCATCTTCCTCTTAGCTTCTTCTGGCACTTGCGAAAACTGAAAAAGACTTTTAGGAGCTGAGTGAAAATGTTGAAAGAAGCTTATGTGATGAACAGTCACTTCTTCCAGCATTTCCATGCAGGAGAAGACCCCAAATATGAGGCTGGAATGGGCTGAGCAGGAAAGTGAAGCAAATTGATGTGACTGTTTTGTACCATGTTGTTTCATGATGAGCAACTTGACTTAAATCTTCATTAAAGCATTGATCATTGTAAAGCATAATATTAAAATATATAATCCTAATTAACAATATTTGAATAGTAATGCATACTCCATTATTTATAATAGAAAGAACTGTTGCTTCAAATACAACAGCAAAAGCTTCTCATGAAAGCCTTTTCAATGAATTAAAGAATAAGTACTTTCTCAATAGTCTTGCTAAATAGTCTTAGGACATTTGTATTACAAAACTCCCTTCAGTTTTATTCTACAAACACCTGTATAAAACTCCCTTCAAATTTATTCTACAAATATCTAAAAATGAGCATAAATGAGCATTAACATGTTTATTATTTAGGTTGCTACTTTAGGTTGGTTCATTATATTAATCAAAGTCTTTCTAACTTGGACTAGTGAGGTTGTAATTCAGTTGGATTACACAATTACCTATGATGACCTATAAAGTCACACATGGCATTGGATAGAAGGGACTCCCTGACCTCAACCATATCTATCCATCCCATAAGAGGTGTGGTGGCTCAGTGGCTTAATGATGCTGGAGCAGTTCGAATCCTAGCATTGTGTGGCAGGGTGAGCTCCCCTCACTCCCCTCAGTTTCTACCCAGTTCAAAAACATATTATATGCAAGAAGTTAAATAGGTACCACTTTAGAGGGAAGATGAGCCAGAGCCTTGTGTAGATGGTCAGAAACCTGCCAGTGCTGAACCTTCCCATTTGCGAGGTGGCTTTGGTGGAGGAAGAGGGTCCTGGATGACACTGCAGGATGCCCCTGATCTTTCTTTCAGGTGTGGAGCTAGGTGTGGCACACCTTGGAAAGTGCACAAGCATAAACCAAACAGGTCTTAGGCAGCCAAACTACTATTATGTATTAGCATTGTGGTTTCCTGGCTAATGTAATATTGTCATGCACTAAATAAATGAAATAAATCAAATCTGACAGAAAGGGCACGTTGCAGGTCCTGTTTACCAAAAATACCATCTGATGGAACCCAGCCCACCATTATCCTTCTGAGGTGATATTGGCCCAAATCTTATTGGCCTTCCAAAAGATTTGAAGACTTTATCATCTGGCCTGGGGATCTGGTGACATGAATGGGAATCCTGCTAAGTGATTGTACTTTTAACAAAATGAGTAGCGCTCTGCTGCTGATTATGATTTTCATAATTCTATTGTTTTCAATGTTTTCAATCATGTTGATAATTATTTTGGTTGATTTTGTATTGCTTTCTAGGTTTTTAGCTTAGTAAACTACTCAGAGGAGTGAGTAGTGAGATGGGAGGCTGTATGCATTTAATTAATTAATTAATTAATGTAAGAATCAGTTTGTTGTAAATTATTTCACAGCCAAATGAACAAGAGGCACCATTGTAAGGACATTTTTATTGTTAAGAAACTAGAGAAACTCCGCCTATCAGCTTAATTCAGATGCATTTAACTTATCCCACAAATCCTGCTTTATAAAATGTAGATAGTCGTAGCAAGATTTTTCTGCTTTTTCTCAGTTTATTTGACTGAATTCTATTCTATGCCAACATTGCATTTGCTGGATACAAATCCTTAATATTGCAAAAATCATTTTCCTCTGAAGCAATTTGGAGGGTTCTTTTTTTTTTCTTGCATAAAAATTTAACTCACCCTCCCACTCTTGTCTGGTATCCAACCAAAGGAAGTTGAGGGAGTAAAATTTTGGCAAAATATTACCAACAATATTCCAGAATTCCTAGAGTAGCTTTGATTAAAGTCATTCCATAGTGTGTGCTAAGACCACACTTGGATATGAGTGGGAGCAAGTTTAAATCAACGACTATAGGAAAGTTGTTTCAAGTCTTTAAAAAAGTACATTAGTGCTACAGTGTCTACAAAGTGAAAAAAAATCTTTGCACTAAATACCACTGAGAACATTTAGTATAATGGAGCAGTATAGTTCAGCATAAAGGCCATGGGTTGAATTCACATTTGGACCTCTTCCTTATACAGGGCCAACACCAATCTAAGGTCAGGACGTCTCTTCTTCTTGTATCCCCATTCCTATCATCTTGGAGTTTGTGTCGGCCTTGGGAAGCTGAGCCAATTAATTATGGCTTGGCTCGTGCTCCATAAGAGATGCTGTGAAGGCAGTTTTGCAAAGCTTCCTTTGGAGCTGCGAAGTGGCCAGTTGTCCATTGGCAAGAATTCTCACTTTGTCTTACCTCCCAGATCCTG